AAGTGCAGATATAGTAGAGGTTTACTTTAAATTGTATTACTGCTTTATGCTTATATATGTAATTTGTTGCAGAAATCCGCATCTGATTTCAATTAGCACTAAATGCGTATGTCTACTGTTATTTGGTGTATGGAAACTTCAAGTAAATAACAGCCAAAAACTAAGGTGTGTTCTTTTTTCAAAAGGGAAATGTAGAAAATACTCCTTCTTTTTACTTTAAACAATAGCACCAACTGATATTGTTTGAGATTTAGCTACCTTAGGTGTTAAGTTATATAATAATGGTAATCAATTAAAATTACTAATTATACCCGTTTTCGTGGGTACCAATGCGTAGAGATAATGCGAGGGTTTTGCTGTACTTGCAAAAAATCCAGAACTCTTTGTCTTTGATAGTAGATTGTACAGTTACAACTTTTGGACTCGATGTCACTCCTATTTTTGTTCTTATGATGGTGTTGTAGAAGTGTGGGGTGTAGGTAACATTGATATTGTAATAGAATTTGAAATATCTTAAACGTCATAATGAATGTCAAAAGTCCACTCCAGTGTTATGGTATTTGCAGGCAGCTTTGGTACTCTCCAATTGATTTGTGTCAGTTAAATGAGAGTCTTAAATTTTTTGGTGCCAAAAATCATTTAATTCTAACACGAACCCGCATTTTTCCCTATTGAACAAAAAGAACGAAAGAATGTGTGTTCATTATGCTATAAAATCACTGTTTGACGTCCTATATTTAGACATTGTGACGTAATCATTATACACGTGAGTAACCACTAAAAATGTGAACGCGCTGACAATAAGTACGCGAAACAAATCAGGCGCAATTTAGCTTAAATATCAGGTACGGCCAGCATTTCATTGTTATGTCGGTTAGAATCGAAATTTAATATATTCCAAATCGGGTGGATTTCTATGCTAGAATAACATCACTGTTTGTCGTTCTGATGCGCATCATTATATCACTTGGGCTACGCCCTCGTGATATAATTCCTCGCATCGAAACTCCAAACAGTGATGTTATTGAGCAATAAAATCACAGTTTGGGATATATTATTTCTTAATTCAAAACCTGATAAAGTATGTAATATTATGTACAAACTAATGTTTGAATTGGACCGTCAAAACGTATATCACTCTCCATGGATAGCTTATGTTAAAAAATCATGCAAGGAGCTTGGTTTTGTGCTAAATACTGGAATAAACAATCTGTGTTATTCACCCTTCTTATTTAAAAAATATTGTCAAATCTAGAATTCAAAGGACCAATATGTTCAAATGTGCGCATGAACAAAAGGCTGTTTAACTCATAGAAAATGTAATCACTGACAGGATTTTTAATCCTTCATTTGAGTTAGAACCCTATTTGAAACTTATTACCTAAATCTAGCCTGTATCGCTGTGTAGCGTTTTAGATATGTAACCATTAAACTCCCTATTGAAAAGGGCGTTATAGTAAATTTGCGATATGATTTAAGATATTGCCATCTCTGTCCAAATAAGTCTTTATTAGGTGATGAGTTTCATTATATTTTGTCAATGTCCTTAAGTCACTTATTTTAGACTTCGTTTAATCTACTGGTTTAGAAAGTACTTGCCCATTTAATGGGTTGCACCACCTTAAGAGACGGGTACTTAATTATATTTATTTAGAATATGTAGATTAATTGAGATACCTAGCATGCGTTTAATTATAGCGAGCAATATATTTCATATTCAAAGTAGCTGATTCAAAAACCTGATTATTTAAGATACTATAAAACTAGTATCTTAGCGTTTTACACAAAGTACCATAGCAATAATGTGGTTTAATGTGTGAAATAATGTTAGCCACCTTCTAGTCAGGTATCTATTAGCCAATGTATTGTACTGGATTTGTCTAACCATATATTAAGGTACATTTATCTATTTTGTGTATTTTATTTAATTTTTTGTATATTTTTTTCATATGTAAGGTCTGCGTAAGATCATGCCCTCTGAGAAACCACCAGGATCGCTGGGAAGTGTGTGAGCACTTGGTCTCTACCTCTTTAACGATTTCTGTTTGCTCCCGGTAACTACCTTGTACCGGCGGGGTGTGTGTTGCTAGCTTGGGGCTTCATGGGCCCATGTTGTGGGTTACGCCATGGTCGCTCCCATCACTTTATTTGCGTTTTTGGTCAGGAACTTTCATTGTAGCGGTTGAATTGGTGTTCATTCTAGTCACTCATTTGTAAATCATTCATATTAGGTAGTATCGAAAGTCTCTAAGATCCTTACTTTTTGTTATTATACGATTAACCCACGAAGGTATATTTCAATATGTGAGATTTCGTCAAAGTCTTGTTAGAATTCTCATACATGTAACATTCCCTGACGTATTATTTTGTTAAAATTGAACTACACACGTTAATACATTTGTGTTGTGAAATTGTTATACACTTTGTTTATTAATTAACTGATGCCCATATGGGGCCTAAATGATTTTTAATAATATTTACCAAAAAAAATTGTATTAAAATGCCACTTGTTTAAACTTACATTATACTTATCTAGAATATTCTTCTAGCGTAAGCTCTTGGTTTGTTTTTTTCCTATTTATAAAGGAATGTATAAGAGATATCAATAGCTTCTTATGCGAGGGAACATATAATAGATCACTACTAACTAACCCTTGATCATTTTTTATCATACTTCTCCTCCTAAATATTAATTGGCTTTAAAGTTTCTAATAATGATTGCCTCACTTCCGGCGCAGTTTCTATATTCTGCTAAACCGAAAGAGGCTCGTGGAGCCTTCGTTATGTGTATGAATGACTGCAATTTGACATTGAAGGAAAACAAAATTGCAACATGTTAGAGCAAAATATTATTTCAGAAAACTATCATAGTAAATTGGTGCATATTTACGCTTATTAACTCGCCATTTTGTATACTCGATATAATCTACGTAATTGATTTACGTTTTATGGAAGTAAGTGTTCCAAGTTATTTTATTCACTTACTTAATTAATCGTAATTATGAAAAATATGTTCTATTATTATTTAATCTCTGGTCCTCAAATGTGCGTTAATTTAACGTTTCGCATCCCAATTTAATGATACCCAAGGTTGGAAGACCATGAATAGAATTGTAATGTTCATGTTAATTGTCTATAGTCTCCTAAAAATTATTAATTAACAGTAAATCAAGATCCCTTAGCCTTTACAACCGTCAAACTAATCGAAAAAATAATTTTAAAATTCATTTAACAAAATTAAATCTAGAAAGCAACATCTCACCATGATACACAGCTCCAACTCCCAAATCGCCTCTGGTTGTTAATACGAGCCTGTTATGATGTAACGCAGACGACTCAATTTTTAATCTCTATTTTATAAATAGAGTGTAGTACAGTGTGATATACAAACGAATAAATTTTAAGCCCACTTCTATACTAGAATAATGGCCACCGATAATTCAATAATTTAAATCATTAGCTATTTATTTACCATTCAAAATATCATAATTATGATCATATATAAACATGAAATTTCCTTGTTTCAAGTTATGATAATTTAAAGAATAAAGTAAAAGAAATCTCTGAGAATAGTCTAGCTATTTAAATCAAATATCAATAAGTTATGATCATATGATAACATGAAATTCCTTTTTAAAAAAGAAATTGTATTATTTAATCAAGATTATACATTTTTTTTACCTTTTACATTTTTGATTTTGTGATCTTGGATGTTAAGATGTTATTTTTAATAAAATAAGAAAAAAAAAAACGGTTTAAATGTTATTTGTTCTACGTACTTGTATTGTGATAAAGGGACTACTCTCTATATACTTTTCAATGAGATATTTATACCAGTGAAGTATAATTTATATAGCACTGTTTGAAACTTAGTGAAATACATTATTTGGTCCCATTGAAAGACTTTACAAAGATAAATGATATATGATGTCTTTGAACTGATCGCTTCAGCTACATGTACGTCTTGGAATGATCCTGGATTCGAACCTTGGTCGCCATATTCACAGTCCTACCTCTGGAGCTGCCGGTCCAGTAAGCTAACCACCACTACACAACAGCGGCCGTTGCGTTTTCTTCGTGCTAATTGACCTTATATATTTATACCCGTTTATATAGGGCTTCATTGCCTGTCAAAATCAATGTATACTGACAATTTGTAGTTACATGTTACACTGCTGTATATAGTTGCCATTACATGTTACAAGTTATGTTGTTTACCCATATAAAGTTACATGTAGATAGTGGCAGGTATATATTTGCATGACAGTAACCATGTATGTACATGTAGTTACATGTACATGTAGGTAGTCATGTTTATTTCTTCTCCAAATCCCTCTAGAGGCGTGCACGTCGCGGAGAAGGCACACGGCAGGTCAAGTCACCTTAAGTACCAGAGACGATTGGTTGACCTGTTGTGACTAACTCCGGAGGGTTGGCGCTAACGACTGCCGTTTTTGTTATCGTCGGTCAGAAAGCTGATGCCTTGACAGTATTGTCGTCTCCTTTACCACCACTGAACGAGAAGATTCGTCCCCGATGTGACTACCGCAGTGGACCGGCAAGGATGCTATAATCTCGGACATATGGTTATTCCAGCGCTGAGTATAAACAAACTTAAAAAAAACATGTTTATTTTCATCAGTGTTAGGAAGAAGATTGTTAAGATAGGTCCATTTAACATTTACATTTAAATCGTATGAATGCATTTATTGTAATCTACTCCAGCTGTAGCTAAAGTGTTTATAAACATTCACTGTATCCCGCAATGATTTTTGAACTGTAATTTCCTATACTGAGGCTGATGTGAATTAACCGTGTTTTTCTATGTTATTTTCCGTTCATTGCCGATGAATACTTCGTGTGTAATACTCTAACTTTTATATAAGCTATAACAGTGAAGTAAAGTAATTTTGATCCCCATCTAATGAATCGATCTTATTTGAAACGGCTCAATTTTTATACAGTTGTGTCAATATTTAGCACATTTTTCATACATACTTAACAGACGTGAATGCATGAATAATTTTGAATTTTATGAAAACCAGTTTAGATGTACCAATTTTCTAACTCCATATGTCGCAAAAGGGTATGCAATAAAACGTTTTCAAATTACACTATATATTCACATTAACTATACAAATGATGTGTTAAATGTTGACTACTTTTCACATGGGAACAACTTTATAAATAAAAATGTAAGTACATTATTTTCCTTACTATAAATTATTTACATGTGAATAGTCTCATTTCGTTTAATATAATAATAGATAATTGTAAAATTGTAGGATTATTATAAGATTAATTTAACTTGATCAGGAACTTGTATGTATGTATTTCTAGGCTTAATGAGGGTCCATCCGCCCTTTCTGGCACTAAAAGTACGGACCCTTCTGAATGTTCCAGTATTGAACGTAACGTAATGTCATTACGTTATTGCGGATCATATTTTATACAGTATATGTAAAGATTTTCTTGCAATTAAGGGAATTACTGACAGGAAGGGCGGCATATTAAAATCGCACCGTCCGTCTGTCTGTCCGTCTGTGCGTCCCCACTTCATTCGTGTCCGGACTGTATCTTTGTCACACAACGAGGGATTTTTAAATAGCTTGGCACATCAAGACGATGTGTCGCGTCCAAGAACCACGTCCATACCTCAAGGGTCAAGGCCACACAAATATTTTGAAGTTTCACATTATCAAAATTAGAGTTAATATTTACACAAATTTACGTCCGGACTGTAACTTTGTCATGCATCGAAGACTTTTAGAATGACTTGACATAAATGTCTTCCACATCAAGACAATGTGTCGCGTCCAAGAATCACACGCCTACCCCAAAGATCAAGGTCACACTACCATTTTGAAGTTCACTTTATCACAATTAGAGTTTATAGGTACACACATTCGTGTCCGGACTAAACTTCGTCATGCATCGAAGGATTAATAAAAAAAACTTGGCATAAATGTCTACCACATCAAGACGATATGTCGCGTCATAGACCCATGTCGGATTGTCCCTACCTTCAAGATCAAGGTCACACTTACAGTTTGAAGGTACTCATTCTCTCGAGAGGAGTTTGAAGATACACATTCATGTACGGACTGTAACTTTGTCATACAGGGAAGGATTTTAAAATAACTTGGCACAAATGTCTACCACATCAAGACGATGTGTCGCGACTAACGCTCATGTCCGTCTGTCTGTCCGTGCATCCCCACGTACACAACAATCTTGTCCAGACTATAACTTTGTCAAGCATTGAGGGATTTTGAAAGAACAAATCACATGACAATATTGTGTCACTTCTAAGAACCCCGTTCCTTCTTTAAAGGTCAAGGCCACAGTTATATTTTGAAGGTTCACGCTATCACAATTAGAGATTATAGGTACGAGAAAGCTAAGTCGTGGCCACGAGAAACTAAGTCGTGGCCACGAGATAGCTATGTCGTGGCCACGAGATACTATGTCGTGGCCACGAGTTACTAAGTCGTGGCCACGAGATAGCTATGTCACCTTTGTGCCACCGTATTTACCGCCTTATGCAAAGCATAGGTGTTTGGCGCGTTGATTGGTCACTACCCCCAGGCCCCCCTCACCCACTCTACAACCCTCCTACCTCTCAAAACCATGTAAAATTTATCATTTTTCATTTGAAACATGTTTTAATATTCGGTATATGCTTTTAATTCAATTACCTTCATTTCCCACAAAAAAAAGATTTAAAAAAAAAAAGATATGTATATAAATATATATCATTTTTTTGTCAGTTTTTTTGTTGTCATGCCTGCCGCAGTACAGGACAGTATAATTTTAAACGAATACTTACAGTACGCTGAAGACCTTAAAGATATACTACAGTATGCTCAAATTTGATATAAGAAAATATTGATATTTGCTGGAAGTCTTAAACTCTACACGATACAATACAAGTAATCTAAATTACAGCTAAGCAATTAAACGTTTTGGGTAGCTCTGATTTTTGTGGGCAGACCTGTAGCGGGAGGGGATACAAACAATATTTTACTTTAGGCCCGGTGTCGCATGTCCTGAGACCCATGGCAGCCATGGGGCTTGAGCCCCAATTTCTCCAGACTTTTTTTTTCAACTCACTTCACAGTATCGTCAGTTTTTTTTAATGTTTGGTCCATCAAGGCCATCTTTTTTCCATGTCAGATATTACACCGCTTCTCAAGGCAAGAGTGACACTGCGATATGACAGCGCTTCTATTAGTTACCATGGCAACGCTTCACAATATCTCCATGTCATCCAGTGTGGCATTATTCCGTGTTTCCCTCATTTGCGATATATATAAATCGATATCGAAGCCCGTTCTCCTTCATAGAAAACTGAATATTAGTCGACTTATTGTGCTGTGTATGATTTAGTTATCAACAGCTGATTGGAATAAATCCATTGATCAAAAACACTCAACGATGCTTTCAACTCAACGATGCTTTCATTAATTGGGCTACAGTAGATTACAAGTTAATTTTGAGGTAAGTTTGTCATAATTTTCATATTTTTGCTACTTTGACACATGACTGGCTGATTTACATTATTCAATATCGCTTACACGAGATTAACAGTATGATAGAAAAGAAAACGTACTTAAGTTATTATTCATCGTACTTAAAACAAAAATATTCGGCATTTACAATTTCAAATTTTTGCTTCTATGGAACAAGAAACAATTGCCAATACCATCCACGGAATAATATAAATCCTTGCGAAATGTTACAAATGAATTACATGTATACTAATTGACTTTAAAGATCATACATAACAAACATTTCATTGATCGATATTCCTATAATCTCATGCACATATCAAACGTTATATATACATCATTATGAGTTTATTGGTTTTAACTCGCTTATAAGCATATAATCACGGGGGAGAAACTGTTACATGAAGGATGGGGTTCTTGTGAAAACTTGTCAGGAGTTCTGGTGATAACTGTAACGGAGTTCGTCGGAAAACATGTATATATACTACAAAAACACTCGTAAAAATTGATAATTTAAGGTTTAAGGTGAGTTTAAGGTGCTAAATTAAACTTTAATGAATAAGCTTGCCTTGTATTATATGTGTCTAAAACTAATTCATATGTCATTTTTCGTCGCCTCTTGCTTAAAATCTGGTATTTTGCGTAAAATTTCAACATTATTTGCCAATTCGCACGTAATCATCGATATTCAGCAGTATCATAGCTTAAACCGCAAAACAAAAATGTCTCGATCTAATCTTACACGTTGTTCTCAATTACACATGTTTAAAGCTTAAGCAGACAAAATATACATTGTACCGAATAAGTTGTGCTTCCCTTATCTAAGGGCTGAGTAATTTGTATCATTTTATACCATAATAAACAAGTATATAAACACATATGTCTCCAAAAAGTACTATACATGATAAAAACTCAACTGCGGTTGGCTCTAAATACCGATCTCTCGAACAAATTTGCACGCCCCTCCTGGTTCGAGCGAACTAAGTTTGACTATATATTTTTGTTATCAATTACAGCAAAAGTAGTAGAGTTTCCTCCATTAAGATTACATAGTGAAATATCCATCAAACATCGACAGAAACATTTACGTTTTAATGTAAAAATATGAGAACCTACTTGGTATTACTTTCGTACATCTGGGTAAGTATTTTAAAGCAAATCATGCTCAATCAGTTTGAAGTAGAGTGATTCGAAAGATACACGTACGACATCCAATTTTTAACACTATGGAGAGTCCTGTAAGTCACGGGAATTGCTTAAGCGGATGTTCACTCCAGTGTTTATGTTCTCTGGCATGACGCTTGGCAAGAGTCAGTTCTCGATAAGACATCAGTTCTTTCCATGTATCATGGGGACAGTATCTACCCATTATTATCGGAATAGCATCACGAATGGGTCGTCCAAACAAGATGTGTGCCGGTGATGCCTTTGTTTCAGGATTTATGGAATTCCTGTAGATAAGCAGCGCCCTCTGAAACTTATCAACATCAAGTGAACCAGACGCAGTAACTTTACAGCCAACTCAGCCCTGCAATTTGCATTTGGGTTTAAGTAACCTTTGCGTTTTGCCTGCTGTAAACTGTGGACCTCCATCTGACGTCAATTCCTCTGGGATACCAAATGTAACAAATGTCGCACGTAGTCGCTTAACCAGTGATTTATGTACCATTGGCCAATTAGAATACCTGCGACAATGACGACATAGTCTTTACTATTACATGTGAAATAAACACTACAAATCATCTGAAAGGGGTATTCTAGAGGCTTTATCTCAGAAGGGGGCTGCATGGGGTTCGACTTTGCCATCCGATAACAATGGATACACTGATCTCTAACTTTTGTAATATCTATTGTGATGTCAGGCCAATAAACAAAGTCAATTGCCCTTGCACGCATTGCAGATACTCCTTGATGAGCAGCATGTAGTGAATCAAGAATAGGTTTGCGTAGCACAGGTGGAATCACAATTCGGTGCCCCATGAGGATTACACCGTCAACAGTACACAGGCTCGCAGCAAAGCGGTGAAATGGCCGAAGATCTACTGAAAGTTCCTTGCAATCATCTGGAAACCTTGTTTCAATTTGTCTGATGAGTTTTACAAATGTTGGGTCTGATAAAGTTAATTGCCTCACGAACCATATCCCATGTTACAACCGTGATGTTAGTATGCAAAGCAGTTGTTGCTGCAGCAATTGTGGACATATAATCAGCTATGTCTTCATCCTCTTCACACAGACATACCCTAGTAATGATATCATGAGTATTAGCTGTTATGTCAACCAGAGTATCAGGATCAGGGGATTCTCCTGGTAGGTGCATATTAACAGGTGGGCAGACTGGATGCCTTGAGGCTGCACCAAGGTTCTTTTTACCAGGTACATGAACTTTTGTGAATCTGTGATCTAGGGTTTTTTCCTTTAGGTTCAGGAGTCGCCTGTTGTCTATTTCTGTAATCGATCTATCATTCAGAATCTGGAGTAACGGCTTGTGGTCAGTGGCAACAATCAGATCTTTGCAGCCAAGGATGTAATAACGGGTCTGGTGAGGTGCATACACAACAGCAAAGTCCTCACCTTCAATAGGAGCATTGCCTGCTTTCAGCTGGGTGAGTATAAATCTACTACCAACTAGACACAGTTTCCATCCATCATTACAGCAGGCAGAACTTCTGCATAAGAAAGAA